TCCGACGTTAAAATACTCGCGTAGCCTACTGCAACTGCTGCCTCCATTCGGGCCTCTGCGCAAGGTTCGTTGGCCGAGGAGAATTTTTCTTCGTTTTCTAAGGGGATCGCTCGAGGTTGTTTGATATCGTGGATTGTTCACCGCAACAGGTCTTTGCAATCGAGCCCGGCGAGAGCACGTCGAAATCGGAGATTGTGATTTGGAGACGTCAGACAGAGCAGGGTTTCTTTAGTGATGCTGCGATTGGATCGTCACACATGTGCCGTCTATTTCAGTGTGATGCGATTATTCTGAAGAAGTATTGTACGTTTGTTGCAGAGAATGCTAAGGAGGTAATGGACCGTTTTAAGACCCTAGACGCCGAAGATCACTTTATTAGAAAAGGTTTGGTTGATCTCTAATGTCGTTATTTTATTCTTTATTTTTTTTCATTTTGCTTGGCTAGTATACAGTATTCTTGCTGGAGACGAGATAGGTAACTGTCGAAGGAAGTGGTACTTTTGCTTTGCATTGTGGTGTTGGAAATTTTCGGTGCGGTATTTTGAAGCGAAGTTTTACTCTGTGACTGACATGCAGTGAGAGATACGCAACAAGAGGAGCTCCTCAAGTGCGAGCAACAAACTAATGAGATATACAAAAATCTAGAAGACCTCCATGAGCATACATCGAAGCTGTTTCAGCTGAAAGCAGACCGAGAAGCACTCATTTCCAAGTGCATGTCAGGTAAGATTTCTAAAAATAAATCTGGTTGAGTATGTCTTATTGGCATTTCAAGACACTTCTGTATTTCAAATGGCTTGCGTAAACTATGCACTGCGAGGGTTGATGTCAAGACTGCATCAACTGAAAGTTACTAAGAGTTTGGAGCCTATGTTTGCAGATATCACAGATAAGCTCAATCACAGAAAGCAAAAGGTTAAGGCATTGCATGAAGCCACTGGATGGTACAAACGACTCTTGAGTTTACGTTGCGAGTACTCTGATGGTATGTACAGATTCTTATCTCGGATGTCGGCTTCGGGATTCGGAACCTTCTTTGAATGCAGTGTTTGTCTCTGTAAACTAGCATCTCACGCTACAGAATGAGTAAAAAATGAACCAATCGTTAGTGTGCTTATCTTCACTGAAGTTAGATTGGGTTCTGTGACAGCCGTGAAGTTCATCTTCACGAATGTGGATCCCCGTGATCCTGACCGAGTGTTCAGTTTCTCCATCCGCTTGGATAAAAGTACCAGCTCTTGGACGAGTAAGTGATTTTTCTATACGGCAGTCTAGTCATTCCTTTACCCTTGCCCTTCTTCTCTTGTGCTAGTTGATAACGTTTCCACGAATATTTATGGCACATAACATGTGAGAATGTGCATTAGTGTGATCAAGGGAATGTTGTTTGTGTGTGCTCACCTAGTTCGTATGTGCTGCAGTGGTTGAATGCAAACCGCGGATGGAAGCAGCGGCGAGTTTTGTTGAATCGTTGAACAAGAACAATGAGTTATCGCGATTTGTGAGATCTATGCGTCGGGAGTTCGAAGTTGTGGCGGTCCGATCTCGGTATTTGGTGAAGTGACATATCCTCGTCTCTTGTCAAACAGCTTGAATCGCAGACGTACTCCGCAATGGTTAGGTGCAATCGAGTGTACGCAGAGCATTTCGAAGCGTACCATCGTCGAATTCCTACAGCTGTGCTTGTTGGTTCATGAAGTATCGGATGGTAGGTGGTTGTACAACGTTTGTCTTATGGTTCTTAGGGTGCTACATGTGGCCCACATTGTCGCCATATCTCGTGAGTTTTCAGTCCGATACATTAGATAGCCCATGCACTCTGAAGTTGAAGCCATGTGCCATGTACATTGAAGAATGCTGCAGCCGAATCAAATGACTTCCCTTGATCTTAATTACGAGCCTGTTGATCGGAAATCACACTTTCAGTATTGTGACAAACCATATAACGCATGCTTTATCTAGTCTCCATTTCATCTGGTTTACAGACCAAGTCGTCAGCGAGGGTGTCGTTGGATCAGGTTTGTAAGCATACTTCAACAAATATAGTGATAAGAAATGCAATGTAATCAGCCCCACGAGGAAGAATCCTTCATTCAGCTCCCGCGCACATCAGTGAGAACGTGAATCTTAACAGGAAAATTCATCAACGCTCCAAAGTCCACATCATCAATCTGAGAAGTCCTTCAAAAAAATGGAATGGGACAAACTCCACTTGAGCACCCTGAAACTAGTTAGTTCACTGTTAGTTTAGATTTCACGTGGCATGCATGGTAGCGCTGGAGGAATCTATTGCCGATTGTCCCGTTCCGTTCGTTTGTAGAACTTCCCAGGGCTGTCCGTTCAAGCAATCATCATACAACTTCGAGTTGTAGATGAGACGGTGTTTTGCTGATAGGGCAAAGGAGTAAGAAGTGTGCATTCATGTTTTGGTTCCTGAATAAAATGATCAGTATGAAATTTTTATTGAGTTAATTGTTAAATACATATTACTTCAAACTTCCCACCTGAGTAGCTGCGGTGTCTTCACTAAATTCCCCTAACTTGGCACCCTACGAAAAAAGTGCATCTGACAGTGTAGACGGGCAAGCGGATACCACCGGATACTGCAGCTGCGCTGCCTCCGAAGTGGTGGGCGTCTAACATTATGGGGATCGTTCAGCGACAAATTGATAAATCCCTTCCGAGCGATCCAGGCATCGTCGTAATCCAAACAAGTTGCAACCTCGGTCTCCGCAACTGCACTATACACACAGAAAAGCTTCATCTCTCCCCGTCTCCTCATTACCAGAACTCATTGCCCCGAAAATCCCAAATCATGCAAAATGATAACGCTCGTGATGCAAGAGCGACTCTGCCATACATGCGATATGATTGGTGAGCCGACAAACCGTATCTATGAGAGTGACGGAATCAAATTGAAGCATTAATGATGAATGCGCGAAGGACGAAACGGACGTCTGGTTGGCTGGAGGAGCGAGGGTCATGACTAGGGCACGAGATTCAGGTGTCGTCTTCGGGACAAGTTGTTCGTGTCAAAGAAAAAAAAGAATGCTGTAATAAGAGCTCGCTGGATCGCAAGGCAGTGCGCTGGATCTCCCCTAGTCAATTGCAGCCAACCTACACAACAATATAGACCTCCAATTATGAAGAGAATCCAATTGTGACTTGTGATGTTGTTTGTTAGAAACTGAAGACGGAAAAAGAAAAAAAACACAAAGCCCGGTAAGCTTCTATTAGTATTGCATAAAGAGAAACTGAATTGAAGTGTTTTTTTCACATTGATCTGCTGCCGATTGTTGTTGTAAGTCGCAAGCATGTGCTTGTCAGAAGCCACTAACACAGCATGCTCAAGGGAGCCAGACAAGCAATCTTAATTGTGAAAAATTGACCAAACGAATCAGGTTGGAAAGAATGGAAAGAAAATTGAACCTCAGTACCGATCGATGAGATAAGTTGGAGCAGCAAGCTCCACGTTATCCCACGGTCTTATCAACAAGTTCCGCCTACCATTTAAACTGGGACGTGGTATGTCACGAATAGTTGATGACGTCGATTGAGCAACACAGAATAACATTACAACTTCAGATACATAGGACTAAGATGTATGTATCATCGAGGTGAAGAAGCCAAGAAAAAGCAATGTTTATTAAGGGTGAATTCAGTTGACATGCATAAAAAACCTCAGGGAGAAGGTTACTTGGGCATCAGCATCTCTTTGATTGGCTCTAACACTGTTTTTCTAGCCTCGATTCGAGGTCTTCTCTAGGATGAGGTTCTTCTCCACGTGAGTGTTGATCTCCACCCTTTGCTAAAATTCCATAATTATTTAAACAAGATTGAAACGCAGGAAGCAGCGAATAAAAAAATTGGATCCGCACAATGTAAGTACTGCAGGCAAAACAATTGCTTCTTCTTTCCGCAAAACCGCATACGATATAGCTCATGGGAGTTACAGCTTGACAGCTTGAGCCACAACCCTTTCTGCACGTTCACCAAAAACCAGATTGTATTATGACAAACGGCTATTTCCTTTAAGCGAAGGGAAAGAAAATTCTACTAGCCACGAAAATCTTAGAACCTCAATAAACTGAAAACCCAGAAATAAACCCGTACTATACAAAAACCTCAAAATTTCTAATCAACACATCGAATTCCCTGAGAGAGAACAAAACTTCTGTGTCCATCCAAAACCCTAAACCCTTACAGTAAATGCGCACCTCAACGGGACTGTTCCCACGCGCAGTTAGGATCAAATTTCATCTCGGTTTCTTCTTCATGCATCGAAAGTCCACACAAATACGCAACTGCTCAATCCTCGAAATGATCCCGTGAAAACGAGACAGAAGCATCTCTCAAATCCCGAGACAGCTTCAAATTAGGTCAAGCTTCGAATTCCACGGAGGAAGACGAAGATCGCCTTCTACCCGGCGAATGTTCATTCATCCATTATCTTCTCTTCATTCATTCGTTCAGACATCCATCCATCCATCTTAGCCTGGCTAATATTTTGTCTCAGTGGTGAGTGAGAATGGGCTGAGTCCCAATGGAAGAGTGTCTCTATCAGAAGGGGGGGCTCTTGAGCAGATGTGGCTCACTGAGTGCATTGAAACTGGTGGCAAACTCACAGCACTCTCTCAAATTAGGGCTTCAAATACAGCCAGCCAGCCCCAAATGAGTGATCCCACTTCATCACACACACACACCCAACATGAGGCCCTTTGTACTGTGAAATCAACCGCCCTGATGGGCTCACTTCCATTATCATTCCATGTATATTAAAATAATCCTCATCCATAATCCAGAAAAAAATAAACCTTTTATAAATATATATATATATATATATATAGAATATGTAGACAAGCAGGAAGAATGGGATAGATACATAGAACCAAACACAGACAGTTCCATTTTGTGAAAGAGAATCCTGGGTCATTTGTGTGTTCTCATGGCTGTCAAGGGGTCCGTTATCTTATCAGGGAATTCATTGTGTGATGGGTTGTGAGGCTTGATGCTCTGCCATGCCCTGCCAGTGCATGAGATTATGACATTTCATTACACCCCATTCTATTCCATTGCAAGCATTTTCTTTTAAAATGTGCCAGTTTCCCTATTCCCTGTGCTACCTGTGGATATATAAATCATAAGTTTGAGTTTGAAGTATTAGGATTTCATTATTTATTTATTTTAGCTGAAACTTGCGCTTGGGCACAAAAAAGCTGTAAAATGATCTGCTTTAAATATGGTAAACTTGAGGTCTTTTCGCACATTATGCAGGACTTTCTGATGGTTAACAATTTCTTGATTTTGGCCAATGAGAAGGCTTCTTTGTCTCTTTGTCTCTTTGTCTTATATGTAAGTTTCTTTCTTATATATATATGTATTATTACAAATTAATGAAAGATTTGACTACACTAAGGTTCTGCTAATTGAAGGTATATGTTATAACATATTGAGATCTTGGAATTTTACCATGTAATTTTATATTGAATTCTTTTATACATTGAAAACATTAAAAATCAAGTTGTTTACAATGACTACCATCCATCAAATTCTAGAATTCTTTATATGACTGAATACAAGGGTTGGGATTTCATTTGTACCTCTGTTGAAAAATAGCACAATTCAATAACATTTGTTGAAATACCATTGCATGCAAATCACGATGTGTTTCTAAATAACCATTGAGTTTGTTTGAATAAATAATTATTAAAAATAATAAAATAGATTAATTCTTTATCTTGACATTGACTTATATAGGAGTCTTAAGGCTTTATGGTTTAAAAGGATTAAGAAATTGAGTGAGTGTCTAAACTACACACACATGTTCATTCCAAGAATTTTTGAAAAACAGGTATGCTTTATTTGTAGTAAAAATTGACACATGCATATTATATTAATATGTGTGTGTATATATATCATTGTATTTTAAACGTTTCCATTTATTGCTTCAGCAGTTAATCATATTGTGAATAGAATGATTTTCAATCAGTCTTAATATGAACAAGATATACAGAAAATAAAAGTTATTAAAGTATTTTACATGTGGTATAGATGATTTAATTTTTTTGCAAAATGAAAATCACAAAATATATATTTAAAAAAAAAGAAGTCTGCAAACTTATTTTTCAACAGATCAAAGTACTGAGATACTCTTTAAGACAATAACAACAATAGTAAACACAACTCTAAATGGTTAGACAGACTTGAATTTTTTTACAGTAAGAGTTGGTAAGCTTCTTAAAGAACCTCATTTCGTGATAATTATTGTTAAAATAAATAAATTGTTATGAACAATAAAAAACTTGTTTTAAGCTTACATGGCGTGTGTATATAGCATAGTTATGTACATAAAAAGGGTTTGATTCCATGAAAAAATGTGAACCTAAACCCTATACCTAAACCATCAATGAAATCACAATTTCACCAGTTTTGTTATTCAATTATTTGCAGAAGTGTGAGGAGGTAGACAAGATTGCGCGATGGCAATACGATTCGATTGAGTGGGGCCTCCATCCCCAACAAGGCCACACACACCGCCCAGCGCCAACCTTCGATCCCTACACGATTGTCAGCATCATCAGCTGCCAATATTCAAATCATTCTGTAAGAAAGCAAGGATGTAAGCGAAGGACACTCAGACCAAAAGTATGGCCGCCTCCGCAACGCTCGCTATCCATCTCGTCCTCGGCGCCCGGACCACAACACGATTCCGGAAAAACAACAACAACAACAATAATAATAATAATAATAATGGGATTTAACTCACTCTCTCTATCAATATAGGATGATCGATTCAATTTCTGCATGTGGGTACGAAAGGCATCAATTCCACCGCCAGCGACGCCATCACGCTTCTGTGAAAATCACCCAGCGGTGTGTGTTCGACAAAATTGCAACTGGCGTGTCTGTTCACCCTAGCGTCCCCTTCTGCAAATTGAAGACTCCTTTTCGCGTATACCCCGTCAAATCGAAACTCCCCTACATCGAGACGGAGACACGATCGACCCACATCGATCGCCGCCCCAGCCGAGAAGTGATCTATTCCGCAACTTATGACGTTGATGATCGTAGCTATGACGGACTAAGCTGCCGTCTCATCCCGAATTGGGATTTTCACAACGTGCTTGTCGTCGAGCGGGAAGTCGGAGCTACTGTTAAGACGTTCCCTGAGCCTCAGATCAGCAGGCGTGGGGATTCGATTCAGCGATCTTATCTTTGCACATTCAACGAAGGCGAGAATGTGGTGAGCCTTTCTCTCTCCGCAACGTGCCCTGATGTTCAGAGGATTCGAACTCTTGATTTGATAAGCGTGAGTGGGAATTGGGAGGATGTGATGTCAGTACAGTGAATATTATCTTCAATCCTTTTCATATTTGAGGACCTTTTGGACATCTTGTGAATTTCTTTTCATACGAGAATTGGAGGGTTCCCTATCAACAAACCTGAAATCAATTATGTTTTATATTATTTCAATATATACATATCATAAGGAGGTACCAAAAAAAATGGACACAAGCTAACTTTTTTTCCTAAAAGCTGAAACAGCACCTTTGATTTGTTTTTTGAAGTGTTCATTTTTGTAAATGGCTTTGTCGATTATTATACCAATAGAGGTCTCCAACAAATCAATAAGATCCATGTGGATGGGTTTTGCAAATTAAGTAGATATGTCAAGTTTACCATCTACCATTAAACCTCATATTTAAAAATTGGTACTCATTCTGCAAAGTTTTGCATAGTAAGCTTTCAGTTCTTTATTGTAATACTAATGCATTTATTTATTCTTATTTGTGATTGTTGGCCTTGTTCTCTGCATTATGCAAACATATCCTAAGTTAAAAACTATATTTATGTGTATGAATTTTTAACATTTCCAATGTCAATCGATAAAATACAACTTAAAACACAGGCATGAACTTTGACATAGGCATATATAGTATTACTTCTACTTAGTTACTCCCTAATATGTTATAACTTTTGCAAAATTATAAAAAAATTGTGAAACCAATATGGTTCTATTGTGTTAAGTTATATCTTTCTATAAATTCTACCTTAAGATACAAATCAATCCCATAATTTAGTGGAAATAATATTGTATATAATACATTTTATATATTTGGAATGAACTTTATAAACTTTATGGAGTATAAAATTCAAGTGACCTATCATTACAATTTGCAACAGCATTTCCACCTACTTTATCATGCAACTAATCAAAATATAATGATATAAAATTACAAGCTTGACATTATTTGAAAAAAGAATAAAAATTAATTGATAACTTTTCAATGATTTTGACTTCATGCAATCTATGTGTATAATCAGCTTAGTGATTAGAAATCAAATGTGGCCTTGGCATATTAAGCTTCAACTCAATTAGGACAATGTAACACAAACATACATATTTACTTAGATAAGAAATACTAGGTAGAAAGTAAATGTATGTAGATTTAATATTATCTTGTGGCAAAGCTTTTTAGAAGCTTCATAGACACATATTTGACTTTATATATGTTTATAATTGAATAATAGGTTAGAAACTTGGCCAACAAGTTAGCCATGCATTGTACATTTGGATAGCTTGTCATACAAGCTAACAATATGGTGTACATATAATACACATATGTCTTAAATATGCACGCCATTTAAGTCATATGTCCAGAATATTATCCTTCCTTCTAAAGACAAGTTCTAAGAGGAGTAGTCATTATATATTAAAAAAATTGAAGATGTGATAAATTGTATTTGCTACATACTCTAATCTTTGTTCTCTTCAAAGATGGTTGATAGGTACTCCCACCCATTAATAATATTCCATACTAGGACAAAAAGAACATTTTGTTATTTGATTTTTGTAATACCAAATATATTATATCTTTCTATTTATTCAAGGAAGAATATGTTGTTCTTAAAGATCTTTATTTTGATTACGTTGTCTTGAAGGTTGTAACAATCGCAATATTTCATCCAATAAGTCAACAAATGATAACTCTTGAGTTGAATTTGTTGGTTATTGGTTCTCCATCTTCTTTATGTCACAAATATACAAAAGCTACAAATTAAGGTAGAAGGTAGAATGCTATTTTTTTTGGAACTTATTTCTTTTATAGTGAGGATTTGCTATTTTTTATCTTAATTTTGATAGATATCATTAATGAAAAGTTTCAACCTTCTTTGCTACATTTGTAAGATTATTTTTTTACTTCCATGAGTGTTCACTAATATCATATCCATGCTAATGAATAAAATATTTTAATCTATTTTGGAAATCTAAGATTTCTTTTATTTTGAATTGTTAATTACTATCTACTTTTATAGGAAAATATAGTATTTTTTTTCTTCTTAAGATATTTATTCTCTTATATGGCTCAAAAAGAAATATGTAGAATATGAGATGGATCTTCATAGATTCCAATAGATATAATTAATAAGCAATATGATTGATTTTTTTATAAATAGGAAAAGATTCAAGCTTATAAGAGTCCAACTTGTCACAACAGCAAGTAGTCTTGATATTACAATGAAGTAACCATATCTTGTCACCTAAATTGAATTATGGTTGTTTGTTACAATAGATATATGTATTTTTTATTTATTTATTTATTTATTTTTAAACTTAATTTAATTGCGCCTTTATTGTTGCTTGTAGCTCTAATGAATGATTTGTCAAATCTTTTGCTACAAGATTATTAACTTTTAAAAAGTAAAAAATATCAAGTTATAGATAGTAATTATAATTGATAAAAAAAAGATGTTTGTTAAATAAAAAAATATATCAAATTATTATACACCAATTTTACCAATGATAAAAGTATTATCCAACCATCTTGATGATAGTTGATGGTACATTTCAAATACTGCTCTATAACTTGATTCACCTATTTTATTTATCCCTCAGTTTGAGGATAAAAAGCCAAAGATAGTCTTATATCTACATTCAATATCTTAAAAAGAATTTTTCAAAATCTTGATACAAATTGTGTTTTTCTATTTGATATAATATCATTTGACAATCCATGATAGTAATAGATGTTATAAAAAAAAAACTTAGCTATTTCTTCATCCGAAATAGATTTTGTATATGATATAAAATTTACCATTTTTATGAAGCTATCTATGATTAAGAATGTAGAGTCATATAAACTTGAATTTGGAAGATTTGTAATAAAATCCATAGAAATAAAAGACCATGATTTTTCTAATATAGGCAATGGTTGGAAAAACCTATAAAATCAATGAGAAGAAGTTTTTGATCTTGAATAAATGTCATATGAATATACAAATTCTTTCATAGCCTTCTATATTTGTAGCCACCAAAAATCTTTGGATGTAAGCTCTAAAGTCTTATTGTATCAAAAATATCTTATTATTAAAAAGTCATAATGTACTTGAAGAATATATAAACATGCTTCTCCTTCTGAAATATATAGGCAACCTTCAAAATAGAATAGATTGTTTTTGAACTCGAACTTGAAAGTATCATAAGACTTAGAGGAAGTATTCTTGATACTATGAATAAAAAGATTAGAGGACATATCTAATTGAATTTTCCTGATAAAGGTTGAATCAATAGTCAATGTTGATTTTATTACTTAAAAATGAAATTATTCAAGCTTCAATATAATTGCTCTTTATTGATAAAAAGCTGCATCTCATTTTTTTAGTATAAGGTGAGAATATCTATAAAGTGCATCTAATAAATCTTTTTTTTTTTCTACATCAATATATAATTTTAGAATCAAATCTTTTTTATTGTGGATTTTGTTATTGATCTCTACTATTGAAAATTTCTTGGAATAAAAAGCTACTAAATGGAGTTTGTTATCTACTTCCATTTGTGATAATATTGTACCCAAGGCAAATTTTGATGCATTTGTTTCCATGAAAAATACATTAAAAAAATCAATGCAATGCAAAATTGGTGCATAAATAAATTCATTCTTCAAAGCATCAAATAAGATTTTGGTAGCTTTATTCTACCTAAGCTTGTTTTTACAAGTCAAACGTATAGGTGGGATTGTAACTTAAAAGGAGTTCTTAATGAAGATTTGGTAGTAATTGACAAGGTCCAAAAATCATTGTACATCTTTTATTATTCTTTGAAACTTCTAATCTATGATAGTTTGGACTTTCTTTAAATCCATTATTAGTCCTTTGTTAAAAATGATGTATCCTAAGAAGTCAACTTAAGTAGTGTGGAATACATTCTTTTTGATCTTGGTATATAATTTTACATCTCTAAGTTTTTGTAACACACAATAAATATAAAGTTCATGTTCTTTTATATTCTTAAAATTGATTAAAATGTTGTTTAAATAGCAGACAATAAAATTATCAAAAACTCACAAAAAATGTGATTTATGAGATATTGAAACGTATTTGGCACATTTGTAAGTCCAAATGGCATGACATTATATTTGAAATGTCTATACTTAGTTTAAAAAATAATCTTCTATTCATTTCTTTTTTTAATAAGGACCAATTTATATGCTCTTCATAGATCTATTTTTGTTTAGATCTTTGCTTGACTAAGTTGGTCAAGAAGTCCTAAAATCAGAAGTATGAGATATCTATTTTTCATGGTGATCTTATTAAGTTTTTAATAATCTACGCACCTCTATAAAGATTTATTTTTTTTCTTTATAAATAAGATAGGAGCTTTTATTAAAGAGTTTTGAATAGTGTATGAAATTTTTGGCCAAATTCTCATCATTTTTTTTTTATTTTATTATTTTTTTTTTAATGCAACCAATTCATTTTGCAATAAGTTGTAGATTGATCCAAATAGTGGTTGAGTTCCTTCTTTCAAATCAATTAAAGAATCATAGGATTGATATTCAAAAAGAATATTTGTATTTTTTTTCAAAAATATTCTAAAAATATTGATATTGATTAGAAATATCACTTGATGTCTTTCTATAAAAAAAAAATAAGTATGGCATATATAGCAAAAGATGATCATATTTTTGTCACATGCATAAAAGCACTTCCATCTATTACTAAAAATTTGGATGTATTAGACTTATGTATTTTTACTTAATTAATAAAATTTTGGATTAAACTACAAAAAACTTAAGGTTTTAAGAATTCTAATTTATTTGATGATTATACTTTTTTAACCATGATAGTTCTAAAATAACTAATTTGAAAGAAGATCTTATTACACTAAATATTATCGCACTAGTATAATCTTTAATTATTATATCTAAAAGAACAATCTTATGGATAATATCTCTAAAAGACAAAAAAATAACCGTCTATGGCTTCTACATGTATAAATTTAGTTTTCTTGAGTAATAATATTTCTTGTTTTTTAACAAAGTCTTCATCTATAAAAGAAGCCAAGGCTTCTAAATCTAATAAAATAAAGAATTTATGATTTTTGGATCCTAAATACATATCTATTGTAAAAGAAGATAAGAGATTTGAAGTGAGAATATGACCTTTACTAGGTATTGTACATGATTCCAATTACATGGTTTCTATTGTAACTAGAAAAATCTCTTTTCCAATACATTGTCTTCTTTGGTAATTGCGCTCTTAATTTTGTAATTGTGTTGTTTTATTAGATAATTTTAAGTAATGTAGTTAACTTTTTTATGATATAATGACAAACTCTAAAGACTTGCTCAATGAAAGGTTTAAAATGTATTATATGAATTTTTATTGGTTTCGACCTTGATGAATAGGTTTTTGAAAGCTTAGAAGTTGACATCAATACTAGACTTGTTGCTCTCTAACCAAATCTTTATTCTTGATGCCTTTCAAATATTTGATTATTGCATGTAATAACTGGAGCAATAAATTATTTCAAAAAATATTCTTTTAATATTGCTAATAATAAATCTTTAATGTTATCCTTCAATCTTTATTCAAGTTGATTCAAAAAGTCTTTATCATTGCAATCCACGTTGCAAGAAAGATTTTGGAATTTAGTAATATATATTGTGACTAATCATGATTCTTGTTATAAAGATAAGAGCTTAGTCTCTACTAATCTTTTTTAATCACTTTTTTCAAATCTAGCTGTAAACACTTCTAAGAATGAATTCAAATCATAAAAAAGTCAAGAGTTCTTTTCTATCAAAGATGTAAATCAAATGATAGCATTTCTAGAAAGAAGTTCATATATGAATCCAATTTGAGATATAAATCCATTGAAATATTGGAAAAGATGCAAGTTTAAATAGAGCTTAACTTGTTGTAAAAATCCTTAAAATTTTGATCTTATTCTATTAAGCTTCTTGAGTATATTAATTCTTGCTTCTCTTGTACTTGGAAGAACAAGATTTCTTAAACTTGGTTGTGAGGTTGATCTACTTGCTTCTTTTAATCACATGATTTTTTGGTATAGACTTTGGACTTTGTCCATAAGTGTAAGAATAGTTCTTCTCTAGTTGGCATTGATGATGCATAAAATTTCTACCTTAAGAACGTTGACAAGTTCATGAAGATTTGTAATAATTACAAATTTATTCTCACTTCTACGAAATGTAGCTTCCATGATTTTTCATGTCATTTCAAATAATTTAATAAATTCACAAATCAAACTAGAAGAGAGTAATCCAAATCTCTAATGTCAAATAAAAATTTTCATAAAGAAAGGTGATCTGCTTTCTTTAAAGAAAATCAATGTTATAATACTAAATTGTTTGTTTAAAGGTCGATAGTCCACAACCTTTAAAACACAACAATAGAAAAGAAGTAATTCACTCACTTCTAAACAAGACAAAAATAATGAAGTAGTACTCTTCTCATATTGTCAAAGATATGAATTTCAAAGAAAGAAAATTCAATATACTTTTATGTCACTCAAAAAGATTAAAAAGTCACTCAAAGATGGTAATATATTAAACTAAAATGGCTATTTTCAAAGACAAGAAGACTAAAAAGTCTTAAAACAAGATTAAAGACTAGAAAGACATTGACAAGAGTGAAAAAGTCTTCCTTCTTGCTTCTATATATACTATCTAATTAAGAGCTATATAATGATGTTCTATATGACCTTCAATATGTATTGACTTTTTTAGATACATGTCTTAAATTGCAAGGTAAGTTTTTTATATGTATGCCATATAATTAAAATTTTAATATAGTTAATATGTAACCAAGTTTCTAACCTATCAATTAACTACAAATATGTATAAAGTCAAAGAAGCATTTACAAAGTGTCTAAAAAAACTTCTTTGGAAGATATTATAAAATTAATCTAATTTTACTTAATTCTACCTAATTTTATATATAATTATTGGAATAAATATGTATGTCCATGATAAAATGTTGCCATATAGTTCCTAGTTAGATACTATTTCATACTTATTAACCACTTTTTAATCTTTTTGTCTTTGATAATAAATATTTTAGTTTAATATTATGCCATTTTTGAGTGAATTTCTAGTATTTTTGAGTGAAAAAAGAGTTTATTGATCTTTTAGTTCTTTGAGATTCATGTCTTTGATATAATAATATTACTCCATATCAAGTTGATAACCAAGTTTAAAGAAGAATATTCCTTTTTAAAGACTTTGCATTTATTGTACATATCTTTGTGAACATGTGTATGTATTTTTGTGTGTACACATACATATAAATACATACTTACACACACAAGTATATTTTACTAAACATAATTTTCATCTTCCAAAAATAGTGGGAAAAAGTAATTTTTGATGTGTGGGTATATAGATATCTTCAATTTGTGTACATTGTAGCAAATTTTTTGGAAAGAAGTATGACATCAAAGGCTCATGTAATAAACAACACTCAACCCCAAAGACAGTTTTCATAGAGTGAAAGAGAGAGACAACTTCAGCGGAAGAAGAATTCCCCCGAAGTCCCCCAGAGCAGGTGAGACCCAAAGGATGAACGAATGAAGCCGCACTGCATCGCAGAGATGTGGACGACATTCATCTATTCATCTGTTCATTCTTCCATTCACGCAGCCGTCGTCGTCGGCTGCCCTGGGCCAGGCAGGGCCCGCGCGGAGAGGCTTCTTAATTAGACTCGCAGTGAGGCGAGGTGCAGCCACTACGCATCAATCTCTCTCTCTTGTCTGTGTGTGTGCACAATCAGCTTCAAGAGTCCGCTTCTCTTCTCCGCAGTGTCTCGGAATCACACTTTACTAACCTCTCGCTCCTGCTTACAGGAGAAAAAACGCATCTATTTTCTCCTGAATCTCTTTCGGGGATTATGGTCTGCAGGTAAGGGGTCAGGTCGCAGACACAGCAGAAATCATGGCTGTCCAAGCTGGTGAGGGTGGTGTCCCGTTGCTACTGCTGCTAGTTATGCTACAATGGTGTATGTGGATGCCAGGCGTGAAGGCATTTTATGGGCCCACGGACTGGACTGATGCCCACGCGACTTTCTATGGCGGCGCAGATGCATCTGGAACTCAAGGTGGATGTGCGGGCATTGCTGAGTCCCGGGAATTGAATGTCGTCGTCTTGTGGTTTTGTGTTTCGACACTATGGTGTGTCGTGGATTTCGCCTCGCTCGTATCTGTAGTTTTTTTTGCTACAACTCATGAGGAAGGCGGTCAATTCGGGAAGCTTTCTGCTGTCAGGTTGGGGACGTCGTACATTGTATCTTTGGGTGTTGTGAATAATCTTGCGAGTGGTTGGTCTGAGTTTGTTCATGGCAGAAAAATTGATTGAGGAAGAAAACTTTGTTGCTTGATGATTCGTCTGGAATGCAATGCGTCGACTTCTATGTCAAGTGTGAGGTGTTCCCTCAGGTTGAAGCGCTACATTCTTGAAGAGCAAGGCCGATGCTTAGCTTGTAGCCATTGATATATTTTGCCTAGCGCATTCACGACCTTTGCTGCTTCGCGCATATAGACTCTGCCGCTCGAGTAGACAATTCCGTCTCCTGGTCGTCCATGATTTGTGATCCGATTCCTTTTTTCCATTGACGACGTATCTCCTCACGCAATTTGATGCACAGGTGGAGCTTGCGGATTTGGCAATCTTTACAGCACAGGCTACGGCACTAACACGGCAGCATTGAGCCAGGCGCTTTTCAACTCGGGCCTCACTTGCGGCGCCTGCTTCGAACTCGTCTGCGACTCCAGTGGCTCCAGGTACTGTGTCACCAGCTCGTCTGTGGTTGTCACTGCCACCAACTTCTGCCCCACTGGCTCGACTGGAGGATGGTGCGATTACCCCAGGCAGCACTTCGACCTCTCCCAGCCCGTCTTCACCAGAATCGCTCAACCAGTGGGCGGCGTCGTCACCCTAAAATACAGGAGGTAAACTTTCGCCTTTTATTCCTGTGATCATCCCCTCTTTGCAAATTTCTCTAGCACACGAAACCGGTAGCTATGCACAGGAAGGTTTTGATGGGGGAACGATGTTATCATGTCATAGAGGTATCTACATACCTCCAGAAATTCACCACGTATGAATCTGAAAAACGTTTGCTAAGAATTCTCACGGTAAGATTCTTCATCTCCTCCTTGATACAACGAAGTGAAGCACCAAATGCTGACTTGCGAAATTGCTCACAGAGTGCGATGCCAGAAGAGTGGGGGTATCCGCTTCACCATCACCGGGAATCCCTACTTCATTCTGGTTCTCGTTACGAACGTTGGCGGCGCCGGGGATGTCCAGCAGCTCTACATAAAGGGTTCTTCCACGGGCTGGAATGCCATGTCGCGCAACTGGGGACAGCTATGGGAGATCCGCAACGCTGCGCTCATGGGACAGGCGCTGTCCTTCAGGGTTGTCACTAGCGACCGTGCAGAAGTGGCCTCTTTCGACGCAGTGCCGGCGAATTGGGCATTCTCGCAGACTTTCGAAGGCAGCAATTTTTGATCACCAAGACTGTTCATACGGGAGTTTATCGAGTGACGCTCCAGAAGATCCATTATTATTTATAGCCCCCCGGAATTTCCCTGGAATTTCATCAAGTCGTAGTAGGGAGTGGGAAAAGGTGGCGGAGGTGTGACGATCGTCAATGCATTTCGCCCGCTCCTTCAATGTATTTTAGCTTTGTGATCGTTAAATCTATTAAGAGTGAGAGCTTCTCTTTTCGGAAATCGTTTGGTGTCCAGTCGGTGCCGAGGTGGATTGAAGACTTCGTTTGCTGGTCCGCCACCCGCGCCGTGATCACTTCTAATAGAATAAATTTCTTTGAGCAATTCACAAGCGTGCGATGATTTTGCTCTGTGCGAACTCATTCTTTGATTGATAAACCTTCCGACGTCGGTTTTATTCTGCATCCAACACCCGGAAAAAGAATGGCGCAATTGATAGATTTTGAGCTTCGGACCTATGCTTTAATAAACATATAATCTGGGTCCGAGAGAGAGAGAGAGAGCAATGGAGATGTTTATGCGGCTGTTGATCTCGCCATCTAAACTACGTTTTTGCATGTTTCCATCTATTTATCGTCACCTCAAGAATCTCCACGACCCTTTTCAAAAGATCTCTGTTTCATCACGTTGATGCACTAACTGCCATGATTATGGTCAACACAGTGCCTGCTTCAACGATCCAAACAGTGTGCGGTCTGTCGTTTGCTTGCTTGCACAATTCTTGTTTCTTTCTGGTATCAAGAACCCGTTCCACATCAAATTTCAAGATGTCACCGCTGAGCTGCTCTTCACATCGGTAAGAATCTTGCACCCATCCTCAGGCGTCTCTGACACCGAGAAGTGATCCCTTCTTGGCAGTCACATCTACTCGTTCGAGCCGATCATGTGCTGATGTGGATCCCTGTCCCACACCGGAGTAGGACGTCGCCATTTATTCCTTTGACAATCAACAGCCGATACCTCCAACATTAACACCAACCCCACGCATCGTTCTCGTAACCAATTTCCTGTGAGTACTGTTCTCTAACAACTTAACTCCGCTTGGACACCATACACTAGTCTTCCCTCCACATCATGATGAACGGGAGCCTCAACAGCAAGCAAAAAACCACCCCGTGTCATTTCAGGTTCCTGTCAGTTTCTGACACTTCAGGGCCTCAAGCTCTTGGTGGCCAACATCGTGCCGGATACTGATCCCTGCCCCAGCAGGCGCTCTGATGCTGCCGCCTCTCGTAACAACAAAGCCACTTCACCAGTTTCATGCCGAAGAAGAAGACGATGAGGCAGCATGTTCCTTATCCGAGCTCATGATTGTAAAGCCCTCTCCCTTGGAACCGTTCAAAAACTACACAGAGAGTTGGAGGTGTTGGAAAAGGGCTTCGTCGCAGCGGGGCAGTCATGTGCGGGGTCCTGCACCATGAACTGACAACAGGCATCTCCCGAGTATTATATCCTTTTTTGTGGTTGTCCTGATCCTGGTCCTGGTCCTGAGAGGAGGTAGCATTGTCTCTGACAAGGTTCAGGTCATATCGTTGTAAGCCAATGTGCCGCAGTGGATCGGTCACACACCTCCGACTGCACCAGCAGCAGCAGCACCAGCTGGTTGCCGCACGCTAGCGATGCCAATGACACTAGCTAGCTAGCTCTCTCATGTGTCGTGCCCTGCGGTGATCTCGCCTTGCAGTATTGCAGTGGGTCTCCGTTTCCTGCCGTCGTGGGCGATCGTGCATCGCCATTGCTACTGTCTGCTCGCACTGCACGATCTCCAGGTCCTACCGCCAAAGCTGGAAGAAAGAAAAAACTACCCACATAGTGAAGAATCGTCGACGCTGGGAGCAACTCACGAGGACAACCCCTGGATTTTATATTCAAATTGAAGCCCCATCCCCCTCTGACTGCCTCTTCAATGTTTGCTATATCCATCACCTCTGCAAATCCATGAGGGAAATGCGTGAGTGTGTATATATATATATATATATGTGTATATATAGTAAAGAATAGTTGAGAAAGGAAATAGTTCTTGTGAATTTTGATTAGTGTTCCTTTGTTAGTTTCTTTGTTAGTTTCTTTGTTGGTTGTTTTCTTCTTGTTATATTTTAAAATGTATATATGTGTGTGTGTGTATGTATGTAAAAGCTGTATAGTTTGAAATTTTATTTCATTACTCTCAACAGTTAATTTAAAATTTTCAGGAAGAACAGTGCTTTTATTGAATTAAGATAACATGACAAAAAAAAAAAAAAAAAAAAAAAACTGTGGATGCAAGCTTAAGTTCAAGTAATATTGTATTGGTAATACTCTCATGTTATTTAGAGAAATAAGTCAAAGAAATTATTTTAATCTTGAACAATTTAAGTACTTCATACATAAAACATTATTTGTTTTAAAGAAAGAGATTAAAAGCTTATCACAGTTATATAAGATAGTTATTTTAGTACTTGCAAAAAGTGTGGGTATACATAATTATTTTTTAAAATTTGAATTGTTAAAATAATAGATGTGTATGCAATTTAATACATTAACAAAAAATTATTAGATAATTTGATTAGTTGCATACTTCGTTAATCATGCTTCAAATCTTGCAACTCATTCCAATATTTTATTTTTTTCTTTGTAGTTCTAAGCACATCTTTTTGTAAATGGATTTGATGTTACACTTTTATGTTGAAGTAAGAAATAGCATTTCATTTTAAAGGATTCATAAGAATGGCATTCTAATTTCAAATATTTCTTTGTAATCCTTGTGGTATTCAATAAGATTCAAATTTTATGTAAACAAAATCCAAGGGATTTTGACAGTTTTGGTGGATCAAAATTTAAATCAAGTATTTAATTTTTATCTGCTGAGACTCTAACTGTATTAGAAATTTTGTGATGTAATCTACCATTGCAATTCAAGTGTGTATTTTACCAAACATTCTTGTTACATATATGAAACAATGTACATGAAATGAATATTAAGACACTTTATAATTTTATATAATTATTTAATATAGACTTGGTGATTCCATCTACCTTTTTGAATGTTTTGTAAAAGTATTTTAAAATGATGATTATTACAAAAAACTAGAGTACTGATAATTTTTTTTTATTTAGAAGCATGTATATTATGTGTGAGTGTGAGTATATATATATATATATATATATATACCCTTACATATATATATCTAATTCTATTCAACATGGACCAAGGGTGAGATTGATATTATGTAATTTGGATCTTCACCTCGATATAAACATCTGATTTATAAGCACCATAAATCAGAAAGCACATGAGTATCAAAGCCATTCAGAAGATGGGGTGCGACTGCAGATATGAACGCGGTCTCCTTCACCACATCGCCAGTGAAGACAACGGTCGCGGCATGATCGAATTGTATCGACGACTCCGCACAATTGATTCAGGCCGAACTAGACCAATTGCTGTTGATAGTTGTATTACTCCCTCCAGCGTTCCAGCAGAATTCGCTTGCGATGAAAATGGTGCAAGTCTACCAAAGCTGCGAGTGGTGGAGAACACTCAAAGCGTGGATAACAACGAGTTGCTCTCGACTTGTTTGCATGCAGCAATGTCAATCAGTCGGAACCGCAAGCAAGGAAGAAGACATTCTCAGCGTGGTTAAGTCGGTGAAGGAACCACACGAAAAGCTGCGGCCCTTGGGTTCGGCTCCGCCCACATCGATACTGCAGTGTCCCATGAGGTCTACATTCATGAGCTAACAAGGGCGAAGGTGCGCATGATCGGAAGATCTCGGAGGCGACCCCATCGCCGGCGAGGTGGTTGCGACCTGCGTGGTGGAAACTGGCTTACTGAGACCAAGATCTTGTCTGTGTGTGCTGGACGTTGTCAAACTTGATAAAACTACTTGATCAAGAGATGTGTTTTACTGAACATTGATCAACTTAAGTACAAGAGAGTAACTGTGTCTGTTACGGTGTGCCGCTTGTGAGACCCGAAGAGTCAAGCGGGTCTCACAAGCGGCACTATCAGTTAATCTGCAGGTTACTTGTAGAAACGATGATTTACTAGATACCTTTTACTAAGGTGACTATCTTTGCATGAGATTTAGTGTGTTACATTCAACACTCCCTTCTCACACTAGAGCTCATTGCGTCTAACAACTATGGATCATTGGCGTCGAGAATTCGAAGATATGCAGGCTGTAAGTCTTCTTCGTTCATTATCAGTCTTCTGTTATTAGTTCTTTTGATGGAGTAAATCGTTGACATTTGTAGCAGTGTGAACTGTTCATACTAGGCTTATGGATGGTGGCGGTGGCTGTACGTCGAGCTTGCGCAAGTGTCTTCTCCTCTGTCGCCATTTTACTAGAAAACGTACATAATTCTGTGATAAGATATGAGTCTATGGATGAGGCTCCCTCTGGATCTGTAAGCAGTCGAAAAACAAGAAATGAGTTCAGATTTGAGTCAAGGTTGCAGAAGTTCTACGCTGTCTGGGTAGGGTTTCAACCTGGAATTTATGCGTCGTGGGAAGAGTGCAAGTCACAGGTGATAGGCTTCAGAGGAGCACAATTCAAAAGTTTCAGAGTTCGTTGTTCTGCAGAGCGATACATGAGAGGTTAACTTTGGGTCCTAGTTTGAGGATGGTACAGGAGTAATATTAATTGCTTCACGCATACAACCATATGTAAATGTGTCCAATGGGTTCGTTATTATGTCAGCCTGCTGTTCAGAGGTCGGTACGTAGTCAACAACAATATCACCTGCAAGACTTCTTTCTCGAATGAAGTGAAACTGAATTTCTATGTGTTTAGTACGAGAGTGTAGTATAGGGTTGTCAACCAGCCTTATACAACTCTGACTATCACTTAGTATAAGTGATGGATTTGAACAGAGGATTTTCAATTCCTGCAACATACGTCTGAGGTGAATGGCATCTTTTGCTGCTTCAGAGAGCACCCGGTATTCAGCTTCGGTAGTGCTGAGAGCAACTGTGGCTTGCCTTTTACTTGACCATTCTATGGGTGATTTGCCAAGCTTGTGTATGAGACCTGAAATCGGTCTTCTAGTATCGATGTCTCTCCCATAATCTGCATCAGCATAACTTACAAGAGTAAGGTAGTTATCATACGGATAGAAGATTCCAGAATTTGCAGTTCCCTTGAGGTATCGCAGAACCCGTTTAGCAGCAGTTAGGTGAGCTACTTGTGGATGCTGAGTATAACGGCTAAGTGTGTTCTCTGCGAAGCAGATATCCGGTCTAGAGATCATGGATGTATATAAGAGACCACCAATCAGAGATCGATAATTTGTTTCCTCAATCAGTGGTTGATTCATGTCAGCTTGTAGATGAAGGCTAGAGCTCATTGGTGT